TGATGATGAGGTGTTCATGCCGCCAAACACAACCTCCCTGATACAACCATTTGATCAGGGTGTGATAGCTACATTTAAAGCTTACTACACACGAAGGTCAATGCAAAAGCTCCATGCTGTGTTGGTTGCAGATCCAGATACGAGTGTTACTCAATACTGGAAGAGATTCACCATCATTGACTGCCTCTCTATAGTGTATGATAATGTCAAGGATTTGCAACCTCAGATGGTGAATGGTTGTTGGAGGGCTTAGTGGCCAGTGTGCGTGTGTGATTTTGTTGGATTTGTTCCTCAAGACGAGGTTAACAAAGCTGCAAGGAAGACTGGAGTTAACAAGGCTAGTTGGTGGTGAAGGGTTTGAGGACATGCAGGAAGGTGAGGTCAGAGAACTGGTTGAAGAGCATGCACTGGGCCTAAATGATGATGAGTTGTTGGAGATTGTGCAGGCAGAGAATGAAGATGAAGAAGAGGAGTGTGTTGCTGAGGCCAGTCAGCCTCAAGCCCTCACCCTTGAAAAACTAGGGCAAGTGATGAGAATAACAGCACAGCTCAAACAATTTATGTACGACATAGACCCATCGATGTTGAGGGCTTTGAAGGTGATGAATGACATTGATAGGAACATAATTCCCTACCAAACTCTGTAGATATGAAGAAGAAACCATCTCAGTTGCCCATCACAATGTTCTTCACAAGGAATCCTGCCACTACCCTTGCCGCTACCCCTACTGCCTCGCCTGAACCTCAACCTGTCGGCAGTGATGCTGGCAGTGAAGACGTAGAATCCACACAGTAGTTTTATCATGCCATGCAGTTACACCCCATATAATCACCTCTATTCAGCTGTCATCAGTAACTGCATGGCTAACTATTATTGCTACCATCATGTCATTGTCATCACTCCCGAAATGCCTAGGCATATTAGTGGCCTTCTTTGTAATAAGTATTTTATAATATGCAATAATATTTTACAATATGTAAACCCCACATTGTAATATCAATAGAGAAATAAAGAATTTTAATTTTTTTTAACCATCACAAGTCGTCAGAGTTTGTCGGCCTTACGAGTGGTGAGTTTTGTTTGTTCATTATTTGTTATTAAACTACAGTATAAATAATGTCAACCCATTCATGGCTGATAATAATAATAATACGATAGAATTGAAGAAGGAAATTGTACAAAAATAAAAGGGTTGAAGCAGTGATTGAGGCATTGTGAGTCAGTGTGGCTTTGTTTATGCTGGAGTGAGCATTGGCCTCTGTGCTCATCCAAACATTTCACAATAATTCGTTGTGTTTAGTGCTTGTTCATTGAGTGTGACTGCTACATAATTAACCATGGGCCCAAAGAAACTTGCTGGTGCTAGCCCTTTGGTAAAGAAATTGAGAAACACAATAGAATTGAAGAAAGAAATTGTACAAAAATGAGGCAGTGCACCACAGTGGTTGAGGCAGTGGTATTTAATAACATACAAGTTATTAAACCATAACATGTATGCATATAGTACAAAATTTTACAATGTTTTCATGTATATAATAACAGTAAGGAGAAATTCAGAAGGCTGCCAGAAGTTGGCACCATGATCAGCAAAACATTGGTAACCACTACTACTTTTCACCTGTCTAACCTTAAGTAGACTACAAGTATTATGTTAAGTCATCCCGAAATGCCTCGGCATGGTAGTGGCTTTCTTTGCTCCAATCATATTATGATATGTAAACACACATTGTAACTTGCAAAGAAATTGATATTTATTTATTTATTTAACCCTTTGACTGTTGAAACGCCAAATTCTGAGGTGTCTCCTGGTGTCGCAAAATATTTGGAAAAAAACAAAAAAAATTTTCTTATGAAATGATAGAGAATCTTTTCCTGATGGTAATGACACCAAAAGTACGAAATTTGATGGAAAACTTACGGAATTATGCTCTTGCGAAGTTAGCGACCTTTGCAGTATTTACAAATTGGCGATTTCACCCACTTTGAGCCCTATTTTCGGCTAATTCCATTGTTCCAGTCGACCAAACTCATAACTATTTCTTTAGAACTCCATTTGTTCTATCGATTGAGTACAAGAAATTGCCCATTTACTGATTTCAACTACCCAATAAAGTGGTCAGAAATTGGCTAATTGGCCAATTTCATGCAAATTAAAAAATATGCCAATTACAAAATAGGGTCCAGGATGAACAATGCAGACATTCCTGGCTCTAAAATAACATTTTTTTTCTTCATCAGTCACATCTCCAGGCCCCTCTGATATTACTCTTGCTTTCTATTTTGAATTTTTATTCAAAGAAAAAATAGAATATTTACTGTTATGCAGACTACTGCAATATTGTAATAATTGTATAAATAACATCAGCCCATTCATGACTGCATATTAGAATGGCTACAATGACATCATTTGTTTACTCTTGAACATCAACAAAAATCAAACATTTCCCCTACTTTGAGCTCCATTTCAAGGTCCTTTTCATAGTAAAATCGATCAAAATCACCTCTATTTCTATAAAATGTTTTCCATACTATCAAATGTGACTACGAAAACAAGAATATAACCATAAAAACTATACAAAAATACACCTCAAATTCGGCGCTTTAATCCAAAAACAATGTCAGAGTTTCTTTTTTTTTCTCATTATGTACTGCCTGCTGCAGGATTTTTTTTATATGGTGGACACTGACTGCACATGTGGGCCTACCAGCTTTCTCCTGCTTGATTTGAAGCTGCTAGAATTTTTGAGTATGTATACCTCAAACATGGTGGCTCATAAGACGTATATATACGACCGAAACAGTCAAAGGGTTAAGGAACCTCCCTTGAGGGGGAAATTCACATCCTGAAACTTCGTTCGTATCCAGAAGCAAAAAATCAACCGAGCAACTTCATATTCTGAAAAATTCACATGGTGGAGCATTCGTAAGCCGAGGTTCCACTGTACATTGTTTTTGTAACTGTTATGTTTTTGATTAGTTCCTCGTTGTTTGTGAATATCAAATCCAGGGTATTTTCACTTCTAGTGGGATCAGTTATCTGTTGGTTCAATGAGTACTTTTCACAAAGCCTCATTACATGTAGTTCCCTGGTATGTGCCTGTTGGGCCAGGGTGCTTCCCGGAGATATTTCTGGTATAACATTACGTTGCGCCATCTTCCATTTTACATTTTTATTATTATTATTATTATTATTATTATTATTATTATTATTATTATCACACTGGCCGATTCCCACCAAGGCAGGGTGGCCCGAAAAAGAAAAATTTTCACCATCATTCACTCCATCACTGTCTTGCCAGAAGGGTGCTTTACACTACAGTTTTTAAACTGCAACATTAACACCCCTCCTTCAGAGTGCAGGCACTGTACTTCCCATCTCCAGGACTCAAGTCTGGCCTGCCGGTTTCCCTGAACCCCTTCATAAATATTACTTTGCTCACACTCCAACAGCACGTCAAGTATTAAAAACCATTTGTCTCCATTCACTCCTGTCAAACATGCTCACGCATGCCTGCTGGAAGTCCAAGCCCCTCGCACACAAAACCTCCTTTACCCCCTCCCTCCAACCTTTCCTAGGCCGACCCCTACTCCGCCTTCCTTCCACTACGGACTGATACACTCTTGAAGTCACTCTGTTTCGCTCCATTCTCTCTACATGTCCGAACCACCTCAACAACCCTTCCTCAGCCCTCTGGACAACAGTTTTGGTAATCCCGCACCTCCTCCTAACTTCCAAACTACGAATTCTCTGCATTATATTCACACCACACATTGCCCTCAGACATGACATCTCCACTGCCTCCAGCCTTCTCCTCGCTGCAACATTCATCACCCATGCTTCACACCCATATAAGAGCGTTGGTAAAACTATACTCTCATACATTCCCCTCTTTGCCTCCAAGGACAAAGTTCTTTGTCTCCACAGACTTCTAAGTGCACCACTCACCCTTTTCCCCTCATCAATTCTATGATTCACCTCATCTTTCATAGACCCATCCGCTGAGACGTCCACTCCCAAATATCTGAATACATTCACCTCCTCCATACTCTTTCCCTCCAATCTGATATCCAATCTTTCATCACCTAATCTTTACACGAGGAAGATTAAAATCTCCAAGGAGTAAAATATTTGGTGTTGGATTTTCTAGCCTATGCAGATAGCTATCTATCTGTCTTAGCTGATCTGTGAATTCCTCAGCAGTTGCTGATGGTGGTTTGTATACTAGGATAATTACCAAATTGCTATGTTCAACTTTAATGCCTAGGATTTCTACTATATCATTCATAGAGTTCAGCACTTCTGTGCAACAGAAAGTATCCTTTACATAGGTTCCTACTCCTCCCTGTGACCTATTAATTTTATCACATCTATACATCATGTAGTTTTCTATCTTTATCTCTCCATCCAAGACATCCCTTGTATGTGTTTCTATAAATGCTCCAAACATGGCATGCACTTCTGTTAGGAGCCCACTGACATAACTAACTTGGTCATTTTTATTTGATTTGAAACTCTGAATATTTGCAAATATCAAGCAGGAATTACCATTTGGGATGTTTTGTCTTGCTCTGCGCTTCGTTAGTACCACTGGTGATGTACTGCCTGGTATGACCCCTTGTGTACATTCTTAAATTTACCCCATACCTTCTCAACCTCACTTCCTGCAGCCCACTTTCCCCAATAGTTCCTTATACCTTTCCAAAAAATTTCTTCCTTAATTAATTTTTTTCACTTCTTTCTTACCCAGTGCTGCCAGTCTCCTTTTGCTCCATCAGCATTTTACTCTAACCGTATCCACCACTAAATAAGGATCCACCATGTCTGTTACTCCTCAAAAACCATGTACACCCAGAAGTCTACCCATTAACCTTTTGTCTATTAATACTGTGCATAGTCCATCAAACTGCTCTCATTACATGTTTGTATTTTTAGACTTAAACATTTTTATATTTATAGCTTTACAGTGCTGTGTCTAAAATGGGTTCTCCAATTCAACAGGTCTCTCCGGATGCCATCTAAACAAATGTTTGAATACTTGCTGATAAAAATATTAGGAGGCTTTCATCTTCTTCTACACATGGATGGATACTGTAGAGAGGCTGCTGGCTATCTCATGTCAAAAATTTCATCTGGTCATTTTTTCAGTACAGCAATGGCATTTTTAGCAAATGTTGCTCGAATAAGGTAAGAATGAGCAAATTTATTGCTTAAAATTGCGAATATTTAATATATTCCAACTTGTGATATTTTGCACTTATGACATTGGCACTTATGACAGTTGGCACTTGCAAACAGTTACAATCATTGTAAGTAGTCAGACAGAAATTATTTAGAAAAATTCATTTTTTTTTATTATATGCATTCATAGTTTGCATATATATTTGTTTAGCAGAGATTGGTTAAAAACAAACAATAGATTTAACCCTTTCAGGGTCCGTGCCGTAGATCTATGGCTTTACATTCAGGGTCTAAACCGTAGATCTACGCCATGAGCTCAGCTCACTCTGCTAAGCTGTGAGTGGTAAATTTGGGTCTAGATATGAGAGAATATATCTATGTGGTATGTGTGCATCACATAAAACATATCCTGCAGCACACCGTGTATAATGAGAGAAAAAACTGAGACCGTGATTTTCGATTAAAACAGCGACTTTGCAGTGTTTTTCGTATGTTTTTTATAGATGTATTTGCGATTTCTTGGTCTCATTTGATAGAATGGAAGACATATTACAGAAATAGAGATGATTTTGATTGCTTTTAGCACTGGAAATGGCTTGAAACTGAGCTCAAAGTAGAGGAAATGTTAAATTTTTGCCGATGTTCAAGAGTAAACAAACGACCTCACACATCTAATAGACGCCAGCTGGTGGGTCTAATATACATTCACAAATGTGGTGATGATATTTATACAATTATTACAATATTGCATAACAGTAAATCTTCTAATTTTTGGTTTGAATAAAAATTCATTACATGAATAAAAAATCAAAATGGAATTCATTTGTAAAGCCTCAAAACGTAACTAATGAACAGAGGAAATGTTAGTTTAGTGACAGGAATACCTACATTGTTTATTCTGGACCCTATTTTGAAATTGGAATATTTGGAACTTTGTGTTAAATTGGCCAAATTACCAATTTCCGATCACTTTGTTTTGTAGTTGAAACAGTTGACTTGGCGATTTCTTGTGCTCAATCGATAGAATAGAAGTACTACTAGTGAAATAGCTAAGAATTTGGTTGACTGGAATAATGTAATTGGCCTAAAATGGGAGTCAAATTCGGCAAAATCGCCGATTCATGAATATCGCTGACACATCAAAATTCGCGAGAGCATAATTTCATCAATTTTCCATCAAATTTCATACTTTTTGTTTTATTACCTTCAGAAAAAGATTCTCTACCATTTCATAAGAAAAAAATAATTTTTTTTTTTTTTTTTTTTTTTTAATTCTTGGACCCTGGTGTGCACTTTGAAATTTGGCCTCTGGACCCTGAAAGGGTTAAGAGTGATGATTTTCTAAAGGCTTAATTAAAAGTACTGGTATTAGTTCAAGTAACCCTCCAATCTGCAACATCCCCATCCCTCCCTCAGAGTGCAGCCACTGTGATTTTTCCCTCCAGGACTTGAGCCCCTTCATAAATATGCTAAATCCTCCATTTAACAGACTTCAGAAATAGATTTACTCTATAGCTCAAATAATAAAATATAACCCAGAATGATTGGTTATGGTTTGTGGTGTCCCAATAATTGAATCAGACTTACTAAAAACCCATAAAACAGACCAGGGGTGTAAGGGGGCCTTACCTGTCCTCTGAATATCAGCAAAAATCAGATATTTCCACTACTTGGAGCTTAGTTTCAAGCTACTTCAGATCCTAAAACCCATCAAAATCATCTCTGTTTCAGTAGTATGCCTTCCATTCTAGCAAATGATTCTAAGAAACAGGCAATAAAATCATAAAAACCAATGATGGTGTGGATGGTTTAAAGTAGCTGCTTTAAACCACCCACACAGTCAGCTATGTTTTCCTGTACTGTGCATCCTCACTGCAGAGCCTCAATCTCTTGTATCTAGGGAAAGTTTTAATGCTCACAACTTACCTGAGTAAGCTGAGCTCACAGCGTTGAACTACTTAACCCTTTCAGGGTCGCCAGGCCCTCTCAGAGACTTGTTCTCAGGGTCGCCAAAATTTCAAAAAAAAAAAAATATATATATATATATATATTTTCTTGTGAAAAGATTGAGAATCTTTTCCCGATCATAATGACACCAAAAGTATGAAATTTGATGGAAAACTTACAGAATTATGCTCTCACAAAGTTAGAGGTCTCAACGATGTTTATGCAGCGGCGATTTTGCCCACTTTGAGCCCTATTTTCGGCCAATTCCAGTGTACTAGTCGATAAAAATCATAACTATTTCACTAGAACTTCATTTTTTTCTATCGAATGAGTACAAGAAACCACCCATTTACTGATTTCAACTATCCAATAAAGTGGTCAGAATTTAGCAATTTTGCCAATTTCACAAAAGTTTCAAAAGATGCTAATTTCAAAATAGGGTCCAGAATAAACAAGACAGACATTCCTGACACTAAAATAGCATTTCCTCTGTCCATTAGTCACATCCCCAGGCCCTCTTACATTTCTTTTGCTTTCCACTTTGAATTTTTATTCTCACAAAAAATAGAAGATTTACTGTTATGCAGACTACTGTATTAGTGTAGAAATGGTATAAATAACATCAGCACACTTTTTTTTTTTTTTTTTAACAAGTCAGCCATCTCCCACCTAGGCAGGGTGACCCAAAAAGAAAGAAAATCCTCAAAATGAAAATACTTTTATCATCATTCAACACTTTCACCTCACTCACACATAATCACTGTCTTTTGCAAAGGCACTCAGATATGACAGTTCAGAAGTCCCTCCAAACTGCCAATATCCCAAACCCCTCCTTTACTTACCTTAAAATATTTGTAGTCATAATGTAGGGTGAGAGGTGAGTAAGTGAGACTCAATGAGAGAGAGAGAGAGAATGAGAGAGAATGAGAAAGAGAATGAGAGAGAGAGAATGAGAATGAGAGAGAGAGAGAGAATGAGAGAGAGAGAGAGGATCCCTAGATTTATTGACAAGCTATTTACATGTTAAGGATTCCTAACTTTATTGGCAAGCTAAGAGCTGTTACCTACATCAGCTCATTTGAAAGCATTTTTATTGTTATGAGACATATCAGCGCACTTGTGAAAGAATACTAGATTCACCAGTTGACGTGTATTGGACGCATGGCATGATTTGTTTACTTTTGAACCTTGGCAAAAATCAAACATTCCTGCTACTTTGAGCTCAATTTCAAGGTACTTTCCATTGTGAAACCAATCAAAATTGTCTCATTTTCTGTAATATGTTTTCCATTCTATAAAATAAGACCAGGAAAACTAGAATACAACCATAAATAGCATACAAAAATACAGTGCAAAGTCACTGTTTTAAACCAAAAACACGGTCAAAGTTTTTTTTTCTCATTACGCACTGTGTGCTGCAGAATTTTTTTTATACTGCACACATAGACACATTCGTTCATATGTAGGCCTACCAGCTTTCTCTTGCTAGATTTGAGGATGCTAGAATTTATGCGTACTAGTACGTCAAAAACCCTGGCACATAAGCCGTACTAGTACGTAGGAAACCCTGAAAGGGTTAACCCTTTCAGGGTCCAGACCCCCGATCTGAAACTTGTCCACAGGGCCCAAGAATTAAAAAAAAAAATTCATATGAAATGGTAGAAAATCTTTTTCTGAAGGTAATAAAACAAAAAGTACAAACATTGATTGAAAATTGCCAAAATTATGCTCACGCAAATTTTGGTGCATCAACAATATTTACGCATTGACAATTTTGTCTACTTTGAGTCCCAATTTAGGCCAATTATATTGTTCCAGTTGACCAAATTCTTAGCAATTTCACTAGTATGCCTTCCATTTTATCAATTGAGCACAAGTAACTGTCCAATCAACTATTTCAACTACCCAGTAAAGTGATCAGAAACTGCTAATTTGGCCAATATCACACAAATTTCAAAATATTTCACTTTCAAAATAGGGTTCAGAATAAACAGTGCAGGCATTCCTGGCACCAAAATAACATTTCCTCTGTTCATTAGTTACATTTCCAGGCTTTACATATGAATTACATTCTGCTTTTTTATTCACAAAGAATTTTTAGTCACACCAAAAAATAGAAGATTTACTGTTATGCAATATTGTAATAATTGTATATATAATATCATCACATTTGTGAAGGCATATTAGACCCACCAGTTGATGTATATTAGATGTATGATGTGATTTGTTTACTCTTGATCAGCAAAAATCAAACATTTTGGCTACTTTGAGCTCAATTTCAAGCTATTTTCATTCCTAAAACCAATCAGAATCATCTCTGTTTCTGTGGTACATCTTCCATTCTGTCAAATGGGACCAAGAAAACGTGAATACAGCCGTAAAAACCATCCAGAAATTCACTGCAAAGTCGCTGTTTTAAACCAAAAACAGTCGCAGTTCTTTTTTCCTCATGCACTGTATGCTGCAGGATTTTCTTATATGGTGCACACTTACTACATAGACCCATTCTTTCATCTAGGCCCAAATTTACTGCTCACAGCTTATCAGAGTGAGCTGAGCTCATGGTGTGGAACTACGGCACTGACGCTGGCTTGAAAGCTGTAGAACTACAGCACAAACCCTGAAAAGGGTTAAGGGACTTCTGGCCTCAATGATATAAATCTACAGATGGCCACTGAAAGGGTTAATATAATTTACTTATGTAATGTGCATAGGTTATTTGACATTTTAGAACTATGCTTAATTAAATTACTCTGATTTATATAGCAACATGATTACTGAATACTCAGTACACACATACTCACCTATGTACTCCCATATCATAACTTCAACAATCACTTTGAACCTTTTATCCATTGTTGACAGGAATTTAATTGAACCATTGTTTTCCACAAAAAGCATTTTAGACTATATGAATATATCCTTTGTCTTATACAAATTTAATTCACTTATAATTAATAATCTACTGTTCAGCTATGAAATAATTACTGTCCTACTGTACAACTACAGTGGACCCCCGCATACCGTTGGCCTTACATAACGTTAAATCCGCATACCGA